ATAGATAGATAGATAGATAGATAGATAGATAAACAGACAGATAGACAAGCGGACAGACAGAAGGCATTTTGTACTTTCGATGATTCCTTTTGCGAAATCGCGCTCAGATCCCCGAGGAAGACTGTAAACTCTTGGAAAGCTGCGAAATAGTGCAACTGAGCCTTTGTGGTTACAGAGTTTGCAGATCTTCAGAAGGTGACCTGGACAAGCTTTGTTCAGTATATTCTTCCCCCCCCCCCACCAAGCTGAACTATGCCCGCTTGGTTTGTTGAGACCAGCAAGCTGCTTCCGTCCCAAGTAAAAAAACTAGTCAATTTTCCCAACAGGAATGGAAAAAAGGAATTACAGCACTGACCAAATCGTAGACGGCAGCGCCCTGCAAGGCAAACTCCAATCGGAAACACACTTCCTTCATTGTTATACCAGGTGAAGATACGGCCGTCATCAGAACACTTTCTGCCATCCATCGGACCGTAGAAACACAAACTTCTCCTAAACGGAAGCGCTCGCCATCGTCAACAGAAAACACTTTTTTCTGTGTTTTCTAATCATGTATTATCAAATGCTAAAAAAACAACAAAGAGCATACCTGTAGGCATCGTCCAAGGGCGAGGGGAGACAAGCCTGCCGCCTACAACTACACACCACGCCGAGGCAAACTCTGCCACCACCCAACGTTGCGATTCCACACCAACGGGTACGATCTGAATATGGAAAGAAAACTATATCAATCCTGTACTTCACGACAGCCTTTGTCACTGGCAAATTGAGCGTTACTGTAGATAGGGGCGGTTGCGCAGCGGCACTAGGGTAAGATGTTCTACCATAGAAAAACGACCCATCCCTCTCTCCAAGTCCAGCCTTATAAGCGCACAGATGGCCATATTTTGCGCGTTTCATCGCACCCACTCAGCTACAGTAACTCCGAAAAATGTGTCCCAAACTAAATGAGAAGTCTGAGGCAGCGTCCGACTTCACGATGACGCCCATTGACGCGCTACAATCACAGCAGCGCTCCAGTGCAACAGACGCGAAACCAGTCGCAGAATGGAATCGTTCAGCGCCTGCGTACCACTCGTGAGTATAGGACAACAGGAAGGGTTGCGCTGCCTTCACGCTAACTTGTACTCTCCCATTCTTTTACAGGGGGGGGGGTGCAAAAAAGTCATTCGACCGAGTCACATATCAGCAAAGTCTTCGCAGCGCAGACAGAGGACGTGGATACGAGTACCAGGAACGATATTTTCTTTGTGGACCCCGGACTGAAGGTGAGCGCTGGCGATTACATCGAGCAACTCGAGAAGAATATCCTCCTCACATGTCGTCGCCCGTACCTTCTTGGAAACTTTGTACTGCTACAGCATTGGGTGCCACCACATGGAATCGGGCGTTGGAGAAACTCTCGCCTACTTGGAATGGAAGGGGGCTGAGTACCTAAAGAGATGGAATAGGTCACCTGACCTGAATCCCCTCAATTACCCGGTTCGGGCGGAGTTCAATAGGGTGGCGGAGAAATCGACTATCTCGCTGATCTCAGGCACCACATCGCGGTCGCGTGCCAGAATCTCTCGATGGCGCTCGTCCAGAAGGCTGTGGCGGAGTGTCATGATAGTATTTAATATGCTCTTTAATATGGTGGTGGAAATGAAAAGTGTAACTTATAGCGCCTCGAAAGTCGATGAAGAAAGTGGCTTTTTTTGCCCCCCCCCCCCGTATACTCTCTTGAAGGCCTACCGGCCAAGTCAACAGATATTAGGCAGTGTTCAGACTTCGCGACGGCAGCGCTTCGGTTGCGCATTCCACGCGATCGATGCAGTAGAAGGTATGCGCATCGATAGCGCCAATAGGCAACGTGTACCCTCCTGATCTCCCATACTCTCTCTCAAGACCCAAGCAGCCGGAGCTGATCGATTCCTGTCTGTGGCTGCGCTCGCGTCTATAGGATTTAAGCGCTGTTTCAATTGGAGCGCGTCCACGCGCGGTACAGCAGCTCACTTCATCTTCTGAACACTGCCTAAGTACGACAACGGTCGATGCATCTAATCAATAAAACGAATAAAAATCACAAAACCATAAAGGAATAATTGACTCGCCTGACACTCCTTCACAAGATGTATCAACGCGTCTAGAACTTCTTCAGAATTCATCGAGGCCGCACTCTGACAGTAACTGTTTCAAATGAATATGTAAAATTTGAAAATTTTTGTGCAGTGACAGAAACTGGGGTATAAACGACTAGCAGATGCCATGTCCCCATGTGAAATTTCCATCTGCGTCTTCTTACCACAGTAAAACACTCGCATAGGGGCACAATTCAATCCTTACCTTTATGTCGGACAGTTTGGCACCCGTAACTCCTGCTTCTTTGATAGGCTTATAGACTGATCTCAAATTTTTCCTTTGCGAGACAGGAATGTCTAACAGGAACTCTTCAAACGGTGGAGGTGGATGTCTATCTGCCGGCTGAGACCTAAACAACACTGGAAATTTTTTTGCCAGAAACGGTTGGGCAGGTTTACTCCCTTCAAGTAAGCCCTTGCAAGAAATGGAACCACAGTAAGTGACAACAAGGCTGCTAGCCTTGTTTGATTATGACCACTACTGTACCTGCCGCAATATGAAGGTTACTACAAGAACGCTGGGTTTTGTGCAGGTCTCGATCTCAAGTGCGACTTGAACGCGCAAATGAGGCAGCATTCCGACTTTGCGATGACGCACGCCAACATGCTACAACTGCAACAGCAATCCAGGAATATAGACGCAGACCGAAATCGATCGGTGCTGCCGGCGCGGCCCTAGCGGCCAGTTCTGATCGATACCAGTCTGCGCAATTGAGCAACGCTTCCTCGTACTATTTCTATACCTGAGTAGGCGGCACCGACCGATTTCGGTCTGCGACTGCGTTCGCGTCTATAGCTCTGGAGCGTTGTTGCACTTGCAGCATGCTACAGCGTGTCGTCGCGAAATCTGGAAGCTGCCTGATGTTTTTCGGGCGAGGGTCATGTCCGTTACGCTACCAAGATCAGGCATTTCAACTAGGCGACATTAGGAACTAACAGCGGCCTCTCACGACCAACTACGAACAGGAAGCTACTCAAACCATTATAAGAGTGGTGAAGTGAACTCTACTCACCAATCAATAATTTGCAACAACGACTGCCAAGATGGCAGCTCTGGATGCTCCGAAACACTGCCTTGATAGACATGGATTTTCTCCAAATGTAAATCAGCACTTTCCAAATAACGAATTTGTTTGATTGACTGCGTTGACTGCTCAAGCGCTGCGCTTTCAAACATGGTGAAGACTTCGTCATCAACACAAACGTCTAGACTACTCTGCAACATGACCGCTACATTACAGTGATGTAGTAGAAGAGGGAAAATGACTTAATTATAAGTCTAGGAGAACAGGCGGGGTACAGTACCCAAAACTGCTAGTAAAACAAAGTGCAGAGGAGAAACGATTGCACGCAACTCAATATTAGGTTGTTCGGAAAGAAATGCGCGTTTGAGTCTAAAAAATTTTTATTATAAAAACGAAATTAAACAAGATAATTCAAAAGATAATCTCCATTACTATCAATGACTTGTTGCCAACGTTTATGCAAAGAATGGATTCCTCTTTCGAAGAACTCGGCCGGCTGCGACTCAAAGTAGTTGGACACCCAGAGTTGGACTTCTTCGCGGTTTGTGAACTTTCTCTCGGCCAGGGAGTGCTGCATCGACCGGAACAGATGGTAATCGGATGGTGCCAGGTCTGGGCTGTATGGCGGATGAGGCAGGACTTCCCAGCCCAATTCCTCAATTTTTTCCAAAGTGATTTTCGCGACATGTGGACGAGCGTTGTCGTGGAGGAATTTTGTCGACGTCGTTTCGACACCTTGACGACGCAGTGCTTGATCCACGCGGTTCAATTGATCTTTGTAGATGTCCGCCGTAACTGTTTGACCCGAATCCAGTACTTCAAAGTACACCAAACCTTTGCTGTTCCACCAAACACAGAGCATCACCTTTTTGCCGTGTATATCCGGTTTCGGAGTCGGTTTTGGAGTGTCACCGGCGTCTAACCACTGTCTTTTTCGCGTTGCGTTGTCGTAGCAGATCCATGTCTCATCTGATGTAACAATAGAGTCGAAGAAACCGCTGTTCTTGGAGCGACGAAGAAGAATTCCGGCCATTGCCACTCGTGTTGCCTTGTTTGCGTCGCTCAGCTGGTGCGGCTTTTTTTCCCAAAAAACAAAGTAGACATAGACAAAAATATATCAAAAGATGCACAATAAAAATCTCTTTCTAATAGACAAAACTGTTTTGAAAAATCTTCTATAGTAGGAGAGATAAATGGACAAATTCAACGCGCTTCAACGCGCATTTCTTTCTGAACAACCTAATAAGTTTTGTCTAGCACCCCTTCGCTGTACGTAGAGAGCCGAACTACCGCTTCTTGGCATCAGTTATGTGCATTAATGAAGCTAGCACATTCAGTTCACGGGGTACTTATCCCTCCTATTTTCCGTGACTTATAATCTCGTATGAAAAAAGTGCCTACGTCATTATAGAAGGCGGATGACGCAACAACAAGAGCACCAGCGAGATCTCCCTCCAGCTCTTCGGTTCCATTGATAGAGTCATCGATTATGTTGAAAACACCCAGTGATTGGTCCACTACATCAGGATGAAAGCGATGAGCGAAGAAGTGTCGGAAACTGAAGGAAAACCGAATGTGACAAAAAGGAAGCAAAATTGTTCATAAGAAAAACAATCTCGTTCCCATGAAGCCAATGGTAATGCATCATAGGAGTATTTCAGCTGAACAGGTCCCCCCATTGAAGGAAAAAACTTGCAAAACAACCCCTTCCTATTACCCAACACATCTATCATTTTCCTAAATTTTCCAAACCTTCTACCACTTCTTCTGAGTTTTTTATTCAGAAATTCCTTAATTGTTCCTCTGAAACTGCCGTCACGGGAGGAGGGCATATAGGACACATATGGCCCCACTTGAATTTTGGAATAAGGAAAAGCGAAAAAGTTAACAGCCGAAAATATATTTCTCGGAAGCAAAACGACCTTTCGCCCTCCGCCGACCATATATGACCCCTCTCGCTGGGGGATCCCCACCTACGACGTGCATTATGCACCTCATCGCAGCCAGTAGCATTGCAAACCATTTGACTCGATATTGTACACTAGCCTTAAATGAATCGGATGAAGGCAGCCCACGTACGATACCACTTAGTTTATAGCTTAGTGGCAGAAAAACTCCACAGCGCTATCTTCAAGTTTTGAGGACCATAGTCAGTTCACTGCAGAGGGGCATCCATTCATTCGTTTTCAGATATCTCCGAAACATAGAATGAGCAATTCTCAAACGTTCAATTTTTCTCTGAGAAAAGGTCGTGCGCTAAACGGTATGGGATATAGGCTACCATGACCTTATTGATTTGTAATACGTCGAGTAATAGTTGGGAATACTAGCAAGTTCGCGGGCGATGCCGCAGCTCAGACGCCTTGAACTATAGTCTATTCCTAAAAACTGTTAATACTGCAGACTTACTAATACGAAAGTATGGCCTGATTCTTTGTTATCACCATTAATTGAGGATCAAGAGATCGAGATCGAGACACCAGTCCATCAGCTCGTAAAACCTTCAACATACAAATTGAGAATGATGGCAGAAAATGTTCAACCAGAAGCTCTTGAAATCACGGAAAATAGAACAGTAATCATAGAACCGCAATCAAGAAGATGAAATGGGGAAAAGCCTCAGAAATTCGAAATGGGGGGGGGGAAGTTCCAGAGATTCGAAGAGAATGAGCCAACACACAATGATGAACCCGATTCGACCCTTAACCACTCACTTGCAAGGCATTGGATATCACTGCTGCAGAGATCTGATCGAGTATCGATTCAGAGAAGGCTCCATCTGTTGAGTGAATAAGAATGGACTGGAAACATAAAATTAGATAAAAATCATCTGCCGAGGCTGCATAAGGAAATGTTAATGGTCCCCCAAAGTGCAGCTAACTTACCAGAAGTATATTTACTGCAACACAATGGTGTATATGTTCCAAAGATGTAGGTGGTTGAGAGCGTAACGGTAAGGGAGCGGCGATGGTATGTTCCGGAGATATGGTGAGCTGCAAAAATGATGAATAAGTTTTACTCAAACAATCACTGAAATGATTATGCTGAAATATTCAAGAAGGAGTGGACAAGGATGTTATGTTTTTCGTTTTATGGTATGTTTTATAACAAAAGGTTCGCAAAGAAAAACTCAAAAAATTCTAAAAAGAACTTCAAGGTTTCGATTTTTGGCGAATATTCTAGTCGTCCCTTCCTGACATTTCGCAACGTACCATCCTCACTTGAAATTATCCCTCCTGCTTCTTGACACCCATCCTGCCTAAAATTTTCTTCAGTTTCCACAACTTCACAGCACTTCTCACCTTTATGCTGTTTATTCCGAAAATTCTCCAATTTTGTCCCGTAGTTGCCGGTGAAGGGCAAAGGCCAATAGGGTTATGTGACAAGACAGTCGTAATATGCCACGATGGTGGGCATCGCGAGCGACGCCGTGCCCGACAGACGGGTCCTGCCTGACCGTTTGAAGGTGATAAAGGGACGAAAAAATTTGATATCGCTCACCAGGGAGTCTGTCCCCTCCTGGATTCATATGAGTGTCGTTGCTCCAAGCGATATCTTAGGCATACCGAGAATTTACCGCGCATCGCCGCACGATACACCGCACGCGACTAATGCGACAAATTAAGACCTCCCGGGTGAACACTACACATGAAACGGGAGAAACCGGGGAAAGCGAAAAGACAGCAACCGAAAACTTCTGCTGCAATAGATACGACCCCCTTACTCCAGCGACGACATGCGACCCTTCCTCACTAGCAATCCCCAACATGCGGCATGCCCTGATTTCGGCACCTTCGTCAACGATGTGTCTTTTATTATGGCACAGCTACCCTTACGAAAACTTGCTTCGTATGAAAACTAAGACTCAGTTGTGAAGCATCGCATGAATTCAAAAATATGGCCCATTGACTCACTCGACTAGATTTGAGAAAGTCCTCAAATTGTTTATTGGATGTCGCCGGTACAGGAAGTACTTGGCTTTCCCTGGAAGAAACTTTCCATACAGAACACAGAAACAGCGCAGTGGAACGAACTCACATAAAAAGTAGTCGATTTGCAACATCAAAAGCATTTCTAAAAAAGGTCGCTTTTGACTCAGCAGTTGACAAAGGAGACGATGCAAGGAGGAAACGAAGATCACGCATCTCCTGCAATCAAATGATACTCTACGCCCGGAAGAACTAATTGCAGTCTGTGAAATTGAATTTTTACCTGGAAGGTTGACAGGTTGCGCACTATCCTTTGCAGATAAGCCAGTCGAGCAGGACGAACCATTTCTCGGACACCGGCTGCCATAAGAGACTAGAAATTCGTCGTTCAGAATAACAATTTCTTGATGAAATTCGGGAATAAATCCAAGAAATCACCACTTACTTGAACTGTCTTGCTGCGCGATTCCGGTATATTTTCATGCATAATATCTCTCACTACAGCAGGGTCAAGCCAAAACCGATACACAGGGTTAAGGAAAAAGCCGACTGCGCGGATCATGATTAGCTGAAAAGGAAAGAAATCAGAATATTGAGAGGACTATGGGTGGATACGGTCTATTAGTCCTTTCCTGGCACTTTATTTTTGAATTTAGGCAAGATTTTTTTATCGAATTTTATCTCCGAGGATGGTTGATCAACCTAACCAAATATCACTTCCTCTTGCAGCGGCAACGCTTCGCGTCGGCACTGCAGATATAGCTAACAGAGCAGATCGCCTGTAAGACCGTGTTCTTACTTTGCGGCACGTACTGAGCGTTTCGTGCGTACGGCAGCATTCTGAGCGTTTCGAGCGACCGGAATGTACAGGTATCGATCGAGCGTACGCCAGAGTTTGGAGCGACTGAGAAAGAATAGGTATCGATTTTGCGTTTCCGTACGCCAGCGTTTTCAGCGACTGTCCGCAAAAAAGCTCACGACGCTGAAGTACGCTGGCGTGCGTTCGAAACCTCACATCGATACCTCTGCCGTACACTCAAAACGCTGACGCGCAAAACGCAATGTATGAACGCACTCTAACACGGGCAGTAGGCGTTTCAGCGCCAAAACGTGCTAGGGTGTCCAGTTAAGCGAACCGCAGACCAAGTCTTGTAGCGATTCCGAGAAAAAAAACCGAGCCTGAGTTCTGAAAAGTGGGACAGTAAAGGGCGAATAGTTCCAAGGAATATCTACCCAGTACAAAACAAAACTGGAAATCAATCATTCAGAAACAACTACCATGTCCCTTTCTCTCGAATTGAATCGACTGCGTAAATGAAGACGATTCTGTGCACTGATAAGATCCACGCTATCCATTGGACGCTTCTTTTTACTTTGGGTGTAGATCTTGGGCTGTAACAATAAGTTGACAATGCACATGAGAATAGTCCCTTTCCGGACATTTCCTGTAGCTGGGAAAATTTTTGGGGAAAACGATCCTTCCCTTCCTCACTTTTCCTACTGATTGCAAATTTTTCCTTGCTTCCCACATTCTGCAGAACTTCTGAAGAATTCCAGTTTTTCTTTCACGGGCCCAGCCCGAGGGAGGACTGCATATAGCAACCCGAAAAAAATCGCAAAAAAGTTGACGGTTGAAAAACTTCATTTGCGCTGCAACTCTCAACGAAGAGCAGATGCGAGCCCCCCCCCCCCCGCTCTTCACTGGAGCTCTCCCAATGATGTGAGTAGCGCCCGTGAAACATTCAAACTATCAAAACTTCTTTCTCCCACCCGAAAATGGCTCCCGACCCTCCAGCACCGCATAGGACCCCTCCCGCGGGGATTCTTCAGTGTAATTCGTGCTCTGGTCCGTACACAAAAGTTACAGTGAAAAACTGGAACAAAGTAATACCGTAGATGTGGGCGTCGACGGTTTTTTCACATTCGGTCGTTTCTTGGCTGTCGGATCGATGGCCACAGGGTTACGTGCCGTAGGGAAGAAGCCATCCTTTGTCTGAGTAGCCTTTAGAGAATTAAATAGAATTTCGATCTGACTTATCGAAAAGGACATAGAGTCTCACATTTCTTCTGCTTTTTCGATTTCAGAAGTTCTAACTCGCTCGGCATGAGACTCTTTACATAACTATTCCAATCCTTTTTCAAATTGGCTACTCTAAAAATGAGCTCAGTAATTGGAATTCTGAAAAAACCATGTTACAACTACACCTACCTTGTTTCAACAATACTTCGAACTTTGTCGGATTGCTTTCGAAACCTCGCAATGAACCAGCCGACACATGAATTTTGACCAGGATCAACGTCCCAGTGACGTTTCAGGTGGCTAGAAAAGAAAAACTTCGATTCATGGGGAACAGAACTTACTTCAAGCCTGGAAACCTACATATAGAGTGCAGAATCGAATCCAGCAACACCCTCATTAGGTCCCAAAGGTGTTATGCTATCAACCTTCTCTTGTGGATCTTGTGTAACCAAGCACTGAAAATAAGATGAACGTACAGCATTACACGTAATGAAATCTCACAACTCTTCAATAACATTCACTTACACCCGAAGTCCGAAGTCGGCGGAGGCGCGCTTGATATGTTTTAGCGTTCTAACAGGTGGTGGTTTTGCAATTCAATTCTAACTATTCGCTCAGCGACAGGGGCCGGAGCAACGCCTTGACATACTACGCAAGTGTGCAGCCGAAGAACAGCCAAAGAGCTGTGGAGAACATGATGTTGTTAGGTTTGACGATTTTTTTTCAAACAATGAACGAGTAGCTTTATGGGGGACGGGTTTAATGAGGTGGTTTACTCGCCGTTTGGCCAAATCGAATCCCATCCGTGGTCTGACTTTTGCCCACAACTCACAGCTGTCAACTGTCGTATGCCACTGACGCTATGGTATCCTGTACAATGATACTGCACGAACCTTGTCAAATTGTCCCATGCTGTATTTCTTGTGCCGTGCTTGACTTATTTCCTCGGAATTCACGTCATTGCGAAACGCAAGTGGAGTGGATTGCACGATTGCACGAAGATGATGCCAATAAAGTACAACATCATCCTACAACAGTAAAACGTGATCACGTCCCGCCAGCTTCCAGAACATCATGTACTGTTGAAAGGTCATCTGAGACTTACAACACTATTGAATTCATAGTTGTACTTATCGTATATTGACAGCGGTAAGGTTACTGAAGCATAACCTCGAGCACTCGTACTTGTGTCGTATAGCATACCACTAAAATACTTAGTTTTACGAACGAACAAGGCAGTAATGGGAGCAGTTCGGCGACTAAGAGAGGGGAGCATTTCGCGCTCTCGCTGTTTCACCAGCTCCCGCTTTACAAGTCTCACTCTGGTGAAAAGCTGGGAACTTTTAAAAGCTGAGCAAGATCATCGAGCCACCATGGTAAAACCTGTCAACTCTTATAAGCTCATGAAATAGCTCTCGATATGGCCAACACGTCTATGGGAAAGAAAATGTGCAAAACGCCCCCCCCCCGTCGCCGAACGGCCCCTAATTACCCACAGAATTTGTATGGAAAAACAACTTACCTCCTACTAACATAGAACACTGATGCTCGAGGAGATACAAAACGCTTCACATCCGGATTTGGAGCGATCGCCATCAAGCCCAAGGCACAAAGTGTAAGCATAATGTGTTCTAGCTGCTTCACTATTTTCTTGTCCTGAACGTATTACTGGAATGTTCACACTAACATGGGGTTCTTCTGTTGCTCTTCATGTTTCTATATACTTTTTCCATTTCAAATTCACGATTTTCCGAAGCAAAGTTCAAGACTTTTCGAATCAAATTCAAAGCTTGGTCAGGTACGCTACACTAGGCACTACTGCAGGGCTCGACCCGAAAACCACGCCCACATCTCAGCGTAAACATGATTTTTGAATTTTTATTTTGTTTTATTTTTTAACTTCTGCATCTGTGATTTTTTTCACTTTTGTTACTTCGCCCGCACACCAACCAAACATCGACACAGGCAACTTCGCCCAATTTTCAAGGGAATTTGTTTCAATTTCTGATTTTCATAACTTTTTTCAAACTCGTTAATTTCACATCCACTCTTCACATTACGAAGATACAACAATCGCGCATTTATGCACTCACACCCTGACTCTGCCCTAATCTAGACTATCTTTGCAGGTTTTTGCGAAGTTTTGATATATCTTCTAAAGCTTCACGTTTTCGGACTGCTTCAGGGACCCGTCCACTTTTGGAGAATGCCTCAGATCAGCAGATTAGAGTCACAGCTTGTAGGTCAGAGGGTCGCTCGTCACTCTCGACAAAAAGGGCAAGTTTCCTCAAAGCAAAGTTCCTTGCCTTTTTTCTGCTCTGAGTCTGCTCTGGTTTGGAAAGCCGTGTATTCGAAGTGAAAAGGGTATATCAGTTGGACAAATTCAGGCTAATTGGTGTCAGTTCAGGAAACTCGCAAAAGTAGGCGGCTCTAGCACAGATGGGGTATTTTCTGGCAGGTTCGGACCAATGAAAGGGTCACATGTGGACACCATCTTTTCCAACCGGAGGCGCGATACCAAAAGAGCAAAAAATGCTCAAAAATCGACCCCCAAAATGTGAAAGGAATAGCGAGCTCTGCACCAGAAAGCAAACACTTGGCTAAGACTTACCTTGAGTATGGGATTCCGCACTTCATTAGGAAGACAACCAATGCAAATGTGCCTTTTGATTGGGTCCGTAAGATACGACTGCAGTATATTTTTCTGAATCGATTCATGATTCATTGCAAAAAATGCGAGTACAAAAAAAAATACAAAAAAGAACATGATAATAAGAGGGAGAAGGGGATGGAAAGGTATCATGCAAAATTATGATCAAGGATTAGACGAATTCCTTCACTTCCATCATAGGAATCCCAGTTTCGCAAAAAAAGACATTCACATACCCCCCCCCACCGGCGCCAATAATAAGCGCATAAAATTTAGATAAGCCCAGTAAAGACTCACATCTATTTTCTTGTTGACATGTACAACCAGAACGAAGGCTGACAGTGGTAGAGCAAATAGGAAGTCTTGAATCATAAACCATCCCTCTGAATAAGCAACATATTCTAGCAAGGTTATAATGGTAGCAGAACCCAAACTGAACCTTTCAATCCCATTGAATTTAGGAAGTGGTGGAAGAAATCGAAGAGGCGACTCCTCATCCACGAAAACCTTTCAAGATCGGTCGCTCACTAGACGTAACCGCCGGCCATTTGAGAATTTTCAACAGGAGGGAACCTGAAAGGAAAAAACCGAACAGTAATATTTCGGATATAAGCTTCAGAAAACTTGACTTGGAACACTCCAAGCGGTGGTGATGAGCACTCGAATGTTATCCTAAGCATGCTATATTTCAACTGGGTTTAAAAACACAATTCGCTTCTAAATCCAAGGCAAAATAGATCCGCTCCTTGTTCCTGAAAACCCATTTCCCTCCCCACTGCACAAAATGGGCAGTCACGTTCATACTCCAGGAACCTGATGTGGCAGTGTTCTGCTATCCTCTTCGGAAGTAAGGGGGTTGACGCCATTTATGACAATTACGACCCTTCACTCGAACCAACTACGTAATCAAACGTGGGGAGACAGCCAGTATAGCCCAAGACGCCCCAAAACGTTACAGCACGCGCGAATCACTTCCTGCAATCGTGCAGATGCTTAATTCGACCGGCAGTTTGCACGGCGTGCCATATCATCCTCGCCCTTCGCATACAGCTGTTGGTATGTAAAGAGCATACAGAAAACCAAATATTCGATGTTTTCTTTTTTGAGGCCAGGATATGTAAATCATGTTCACATCATCAGCGGTTTCACTATAGCATTGCGTTCACTCAGTGAACCTCATAAATGAAAAGGATAACAGTTAATTTTATCAATGGTTGGGCAACTTCGGGACCAAAGCGGTAATATGGAAGTTACAGGCCAATATCAAGGTCAGCACGAAGTGTTGTTCAGAGGGAGCGGAATGGGCCTTTTGGCGGCTTTGCCACGCAATGGTTACATCTTGCTGAACTGCGATCACAAACTGGGTGCACCATGGTAGAAACAAAGGCTCCGAGGCGGCCCTGACTCCGCGACCCGCTGAGCCGCCCCGACTAGCACTCTGGCGACGGTTAATATCCACTCATGGGGCGAACTGCTCTTGCGGAGTTTTGCGTCAAAATGCTGAGTCGAGTCAATTAAATAGGAATAGTGGTAGCTGGACTGCGCACAATGCCGCATCTTGGACGTTGATAACTACACACGGTTGAATCACATCTCTTGTCGACGTCGTCGTAACGTCACAGGATACTTGTCGAGCGCGGAGCCTGCCTCCTCCTCCCTCCTTTTTTACCTTCATTTCTACCTCCCTTATTTCTGCCTCTTACTTCCTTTTCCTTCTCCGTTCGAATGATGTTCAAAAGATGCGATGGGAAAACATCCCTGGGCCCTCCCAACGAGAGAATTTTTGGTTGGCAAAAGCCTGTAACCATCCCCGTAAGCGATATTGCGGGCAAGAACTATAAAAAGGAATATGAAAATAAAGTCACAAAATCACCATAATAAACTTACAAATCATAGCAGGTAGGTTTCGTGTTCTCTGGGTGCCCGTAAACTAGATGATAGGCCAATTCGTGGATCACGAAGCAACGAATGGCCTTTGTTTGATAGCCGTATTCACTTGTAAATTCGAGATCCAAACGTTTGGGAGATTCTACAAAGGAAAAATAAAATGCTGTACAGCAAGTAACCACATAATACCTCAACATTAGCAAAATAAAAAAAAAACTAACCAGATCCTAATAATGTAGCGCTTGGCGACAGCTTCGTATCGATTGACATCTGAAAAACGGAATTGAAGCATTTAGAGACTTTTGTGTTTACATTCAAGATAAATGGTAACGTGCAGAACTCTATCCATAAAGCTAGAGCCATCAGCAAGCGACACTTACAGGTTTATCCTTTCCGTTTGACAAGACATCCTCCCTACCAGTTGGATGATGGAATAATTCTGAAGCCGGTGAGTCGGGAATGTTCTGGTTTTCCTTATGCGCTACCGAATCGGACTTCTGTGACAATATCGAGCGGTCCACTTTCTTTATCGATAAAATAGCAGCCGATCGGGAGGTCTGAAACAAAATGTTGGTAACGGTGTGTCATCAGATGCGCATGCAGTAATGATTACCTGTAGCCGCAAAAGTTGATATCGCGATGCTAAATCAATCCCATTGTCGTACTCCTTCACGATATCTTGGAAAGATTCCTCAAGAACCTTTGACTGTTTCTCAATCTCAGCTCTTTTCTTCACGGAGTATCTTAATAAAATGTCATCATAAAACATGCACTACCGGGAGTCTTTTATGAGACCTGACTCTTGTTCACTGCGGATGATAGGCGTGTCAACGCAGCTGCGTTTGGCGCGTCGCATACTAGTCTTTTCGTCGGCCGCTACGTAGTTGGGGGGGGGGGCACCCGGCTCTCAGCCAGTGATGGACTCCACGAACTCTTCCTTTTAATGTTAAGGCAGCGTTCATAGTTCGCGACAGCAGCGGCGATCGCCGCGATCGCCAGCGATCGCCGGCGATCGCGGCGATCGTCGGTGCATGGCAGCGCGCGCCCCAACGCTATTGTGAATGCTCGCCTGATGAATAAGGGAATTCAACTTGTAAGACCTTCTTTACTCTCAATAAGGGCTACTAACAGACAAACTACGACCTTCTACACATAAGCAGATCTGGAATAGAGGTAAGAAGGTTTCACTTCCTTTTAGGTCGGGGTAAGACCAACTCCATTTCCTGGGTGAGCTTCTTTTTTTGTTTTTATTGTTTCAATTTATGCATGCGCCTCAGGAATTCCTATCGTCTAAGCTGTTCCAACTTCCAAAACATTCATAGTTTACAAGTCGAGTTCAAACAACGAAGAAAAAAAACGAAATAGAAAGAAACTCTCCTAGGAACCAAAGCACTAATCATTTTACGCGACATCAAGAGGTGAAAACTTCATAAACCTCATGTACAACCTCGACGAATGAAAAAAAGAAGCAATAAAAACGTACCTCAAGTGAAGCTCTCGCGCTTTTTGCTCATTTCTATCCTAAATAAGAAAGAAAATAGAAAACAAAAGCGATTAGCTGGGCTCGCCTTCCCTTGTGTCAAACCAAGCTTCAGTACCTAAGGAAATTGCAGTCAAAGGAAAAAAAAGCATAAAATTGAGCCGCTTACCCCCAGAAGCCTTCGGAGCGCAAGTAATAGCGTTGGGGCGCGCGCTGCCATGCACCGACGATCGCGCGATCCGCGGCATCGCTGCCGGCGATCTACGGCGATCGCGCCTGCTGTCCGACTATGAACGCTGCTAGACATGGATATAACATTGTCCTAGCTATATACAAAAGCTCAAACAGTTAACGCCGAAAATGCGAAGAAACAGTTGTGGGCAGGGAAATTTTCCCTAAATCTGTTGCCTTTTTGTAGTAGACCGTTGTTCTGACTTACTAAAGCAGTCAAATAATGTTGCTTTCAGTTTCTGTGGGATTTTTCAGCAAGTTTCCAGCGAATCTTGTTTGTTTTATTCTAATTTTGCTGCTAAACTAGTATGTCGACGCGGTTAGCGTCGATCGATTTAGTCATGCACGCGCTCCCGGAGAGACGCGTTTGGCACCCCCAATACTGTTTAGGCACCTTTCGTCTTTTTAGGGAGCGACAGACTGTACCATTATCGTTCGTATCGGTCCTTCTCTCCAGCTATTGTCCACCTCGCTAAACAAGCTGGTGAGAGAGCGTCTGGCGCGCGCCAAATGCCAGCGCGCGAACACAAATCATCACGCGGCGAGCCACACCTGTACCTCAAACTGCCCATGAGGGAAGACCCGTCCTTCTTGATGGTATTCATCAACCGTGGCCTGAATTGCCTCTGTCACCTCCGGATCGTCGGTAGAACGAATTTCACGATGGCAGATAATTTGTACCTACAATAGGCAACATCCAGAAGTAGTTATACAGTAGAAAACAAAAAAAAACCCAATAGTAAATGACTACAAAAAACCAGTTAAGGTTTGTTCGCTGCGGATGAAGGGGGTGTCAAAAGGGATGCGATGGCACGGCGCTGTAACCATTTCCATCACTGAGATGGAGCGAAAAATCAACACGACTGCATCATATCGCTCATATCAGTCGTTTTGCACAACTGTTGTCGCTTATCCGCCTCAACAATTGGTGGAGAACTAGCCAAATCCATTCCGCCTGACACGCCCCTTCATCGAACAGCGAACAAGACTGTACCATCAGGATCGGGAGTGAAAAGGGACGTCTGTGTTAAATTGGGCGTGTATGTTAAAGACTTCGCTGGGCTGAGAAGCACTCAAACGATCATGGGTGCACAACTGCGGTACAAGGTCTCGATCCGAAAGGACCTAACGTACTCCAGTCAAATCCGCCGATCAAGGCAACAGCTAACAGATGTTATGCATCGCAAACCAGTATTCAAAAACTCATTAGTAAAGAAAGAGCCGAAAAAAAGTTTGGGAGCACCCTGAGCACAGGCCCCAATGGGGCCGGCGCATTGGACGAGTTATGTGACGTCGGGAAGCCCAATCAGCAGGATTCGACGTGCAGCCAATTCCCGGCAAGAGCATAGGAAATCGCCCTACGACGCTCCAGGCAACGCTATGTACACACGCAATTCCGCTTGTAAGCCGTTGTCTTGCAGAGTGAAAGTAATCGTGGTTGCAATGGTTGCAAAACTCGCGCGTCTCTAGCTTCGTTATCTCGCCATTTCGAGTGACGAAAGTGGTATATTCTCTGCGAGTGCGGACAACGATGCCAAATGCACGGAGGCATTTCGCTGATCACTTGATCGCGAGAAGTGTCTTTCAAATTGGTTCACCCACTATAGAGCTCCTCTCGTTGAGCCCAGGCAAAAGTCGTCGTCTTCCTTACAGTAAGTACCTCTTTGCACTGGGTCCTCTAAGTGACCTCCCCTAGCTACCCCCTCTCCACCCCAGGGTCAAGTTCAATATAATTATAAAACGTTCAAAACAAACCCTGTTCTCGATACTTTCGGCGACGACATTTGTCTCAAAAACCCGAATAAGATGCGCATTTTCCAGTGCTTTCAAACACTTTATCAGTGACTTCTTATCGATCTGCAAGGTTGCCATACAATACTGAGACAAATATCTGGTAACCTACTTGAAATAGAAACTGTGCATGAAAGTTTTTAGCCATAAAAAATTACCAAGAAATCATATCCGTAACCTAGCTCCCGTTCATGGACCAGTTTTAGCACTTTGTGAATTGTAACCACAACTCGTTTGATAGCAGTAATTTCGAGTAAGTCCGTAAGACGGCGAAGCGTCACATCAGATATTCGCAGTGTACCTGAATATAATACTGGAGGCACAAAGTATAAAGTAGCGTTCTTCGAACCAGTGAGACATGAAAATGAAAACAAATAGCAAGGAAAAGAAAAAGAACAACAAAATATTGATAATAGCGAAGTTCACTTTGAAAATCACTTTGCAAGTGAGATCATCTCTAGCAATCGTTGTTTTTTGCTAAAGTTTGCTGATAGACGTAATTTATACATCCCTTTGGATCCTTTCAGCCGTCTCATCATCTTCTGACAATGAGATCTGAGGAGAGCTTGTAGACCTTAATTTGTAGAGCTCCAAGAGCTTGCTTCCGACTGGGAGCTAGTTCTTCTGAGCTGCCTTGAGAACACTCCAGGTCAAATGGGAGGGAAAGGTTCAAATGACCTGAGATTCTCTTCGTTAGTGAATCGAACGTTCTTATTACTAAAACTGTCCTCAAATTAGTT